TCCATGAAATGAAAAAAGATTTAAAAAGAAAGGAATAGTTCAAATATTCCCGTCTGTAATATAGTATCAGAAATCAACTAACCTGGTATTTATGTAAGTTTCTCTGCTATCAGTTACCAGCAGATTGCACATTACATGATGAAACTGCACAATGTCAGTATTTCCTGAAAATATTTTTGATGCTACAAAGTTACAACAGCCAAAACTTATTAGAACCAAAATTAAGATATTTCCTTAAAATTGAAGGAAAAGTTAGAAGTTATTGAAGGAAGTTCAATTAAAATTGAAGGAAAAAGAAAAGTTAGAAGGAAAAGTTAGAAGTTAACCAAGGTTTGTAAGCAGTAAAATTATTATGAAAAGCATTGGGCGACCGAGTTATTTTAACAGAGTTACGTACTTCGAAACCGATCAATGACTAGCCCAAAGAGAGCAGCTGAAAACCTATGTTCGGAACTCAGAAATACTTCACTAACCAGATCTTTGCACTGCAATATTTGCACGACAGTGGGGAGATTGTAAATTACGAGAAGCTACTGGATAGATAAAGATCGAAAATATCACGTCCAAACGACAAGAAGGAGAGATGATAATCACAGTTGAAGTAGCACATCGTATGTCGCATAAACCGTTGCAAGAAACTATAGCTTAATTGGATAAAACAGCAAAAACGAACTTTTGAGAATAACTCCAATCTCCATAGAACATTTGGCGCAGAGTACAATATTGGACTCATCAATGGTCACTGCGTTCGAGGTAATCATCTGAAGAAAAACTATTCTCCAAATCAGTTCTCCAACTTTTTTTCAAAAAAATTCAAAAATAATGAAATACATCACGATTACTATACCATGTTGAAAAAAATTCGACTAATTAATATAAAGTAATCGTGAATGAAATGAAATAATATTTTAGTTCATTTCTTATGACAGGTAATGATTAAAAGGTCGGAAAAGAATTTTCGCTGTGTGAAAGATGAATGAGGAGAAAAAAATTAATTCTATGTTCAGTGTGCCACCGTTTACTTCTCAGCAGCTACTTAAAGTCAATAGCTGCTGAAGCTGAGGATACTAACAATCCAGTGAACACTAATGAGGCAGTCATTCATTTTTCTTCTAAATTGTGCAAATTAACAAATATCTTTTCCCTACCCTTGCAATCATTATCTTAGGGAAAGAAACCGAACCTTATTCGATCATGATAAATTCATACTACAGCGAACTCATCATCTCGCAGTGAAACAAAAACACAAACCTTTTTTAACACTAGAAAATACGAATCTGATATGACAATTCGTTGTTCATTTGGAAGCCATTGTTTCTGCGCATCATTGGCATATATCAAATCTGAACTATGCGCTCCATGATGCCCGTGGGAATGTGAAGCACCACCACATGTATCACGACAAAAATATTCCATAGATGGTGAAGTATTCAACCAACTATCTTCCGGTAATGATTGCAATTGTAAACTAGAACTAAATTTTATTGGAAACTATATTGATTTTCAGAACAAATAATGAGATAGTAGAAAAAAAAGAATAGCAAGTAGGAAAAAAAATGACAAAAAAATAGGAAAAGAGAGAATCGAAAAACAAGAAGTGTAATTTAGAGAAAAAATAAACGCACTCTTTGGAATGACTCAATAAAGTAGCTGAACATTCCGCACATTCTGCTTGCACAGGAACTGATTGAGCATTCTCGATATATTCATCCAGAAGCATACCAGATAATGCACCAACTGCTAATTGATGAAATGTTTTCGGTACTGAAAATAAACAAGAAAAAGAAGAATAGAATAGCACTGTTTTCACGTTGTGTAGTCTACAAACAGTACTGCAATCATAATAAACTACCATCAGTTTATGTAAGAGCAAAGTTTACAGCAACTAATCAAATATTAAAGTAAATTACACATATGTAATTAATAGGCATAAATGAATCATTGTAATCTAAAGATGATGAAATTTTCCAGTAACTTTTCACAATTTCAATCAAGGCATTTTGTTAGTTACTTTGGAACACTACTACTTTATACCGACAAATAAAGACGAGATAATAACTTTACCTAAAGGACATTCACCAACAACGATCCGTATTTTGCACATAAACAGCCGATGATTATCAGCCCAAGTAAGTGCGCAAATGGAATTTGGATATAAAGTAAGATCACCAAATTTCGCCCAATATGATGGCAACATTTCGGTGACAGTACATTTCCTTTGCTGAACTATTGAACTCATTTCGATAGAATGTTCATGAAAATGTATCATTTCCTTTCGTTCCACCGTTTCATTACTGAAAAAATACATCCGATTCCTTATTTTTCTTATTTTTTTCTTTTTTGAAAGAATATTATCAATTATAATTCATATTAATCTCTTATGAAACAGTCAAGAGAATAAAAATTATCAACGGTCAATTTTGAAAGGCATAGAATATCATAAATAATACTTCATATCACATGGTATTCATATTTTAAGATTTTTATTTTTTCACATGCTTTTTTCCCTTTGTTAATAATATCCGGCATATTGGCATGGATGAAGGAGTCGATTTTGCAACCTCACTACTTGAAACCTCTTAACAAAAAAGAGGAAAGGATGAAGTAAGAAGTGGTAATTTTTAAGGAATTTTTCCTTAAAAGGTAATTTTTAAGGGTAAAAAAAAGGTCAAAAAGGAGGAAAAGAGAAAATGAAGATTAAAGAAAGAGATAAGTTGAGTCGTACATCATCAATAATTAACGATCTGAAAAAATTAGTACTGCATCGATCCAACACACAACTGAAAGAGAAATAATTAGATAACAAGAGTGGAAGGGATAAAATGAGAAGTGATGATATACATACCAAACAATCTACCAAACCTTTCAATTCTATGGTAGGATCTAAGAACCCATAAGGTAATACTACTTTCTTCTGCTCTCTTTCCTCTATTACTACTTTTACTAATCAGTGTATCGTTTGGAGAATTTAACCATTTTATGAAGCTAAGCTTTCGAAATGTTGGGCAACGAATCGAAATAATAAAATGAATGAATTAATGCATAATTTCCTCTCCAACTTTTATAACACTTAAGGTTCGACAAACTGGAAACGATAAATATCCTTTCTAACAATTTTTTTCCGAATTACCTTTCTGTAGTGTCATTTTGCATTTGTTGATTATCATAGCAGCTTGTTTCATTATCATCTGACGGTGGACAATCTACAAAGAGTGAAGCAAATTCGCTTCGTGGTTTGAGCTCAATAAGAAATGACCGTGTCTGCCAGCTTTTCAATGGCATACCTTCCTGAAAATAAAACATCAAATTCATCTAAACTTGAAAAGATCATTCTGCTGACATTTCTTAATAACACGCCAATCATGGATATTTTAGCCTTAATATGTCAATTGTCAATTGTATACGTTAATTTTAGTTAATAACTATATGCTAATCATGAATTATTCTGTGAAATATCGCAATTAATGAAATATTTTTCAACATTGCTATGTACTCATTACGTCAACAAAAATATTATGAAATCTATTTATTCACATAATACTTTCCTGAAGTATAACGTACATATACATAGCACCAAAAATTCATTTTACTTTATAAATTTTCCTAAAATTTACTTCATTTACTTTTAATATTGCTTTGGGAAAAAAAGTAACAAGTCAAAGGTAAGAAGGTAAAGTAAACATGTATGCAAATAGCATATCCACTTTATTGGTCGTTCGTTAGTAATTACAAAGCAAATTATAACAAAGTAAATTATGGGTGAAATAAGTTGATTACTGAGTAATTTCATTTTATTCATTTTACCTACTTATTTAACTTAAAATAACTTCTGTTAAAAATAACACGTGTGATTTATATGTTATCATTGTCTTTTATACCTTAATCAATTGCTATTATCCTTTTAGGGTCAGCTGAATCAAAAGTACGTAATTCATGATTTTGTGTTTACGTGAAAAAAAATTTTTCATTCACATGAAACATATTAATTAATCGTAAAAGGATCAATCATTAAGAAAGCAAATCAATGTAAATTTTCCTGTGAAACGTAAAACCTTACGTAAAACGCGCAACGACTAATGATGTGTAAGCTAATTCGAAAAACGTAAAACGTCTGAGTAAGCGTGATATGCTTGCGTCACACAACGATATCGTCAAAGTGACAAAACAAGGAGTAGGTGTGGACATAAGATTTCGGAGTGTATGTGTGGGAGTACATGTGTGGGTGGATAAACAGATGTGGCAGTGCGTGGGAGTGGGTGGATGGTGCGATAAATGGATGGATGGACATGAGAGAAAGGTGGGCGTTGGAAATAGTTGCGAAGGTTTAACGGGAATTATTGATGCAGAAATTGATTTTCTCCTACTTTTCATGTGACATTTTAAATTGAATTTTAATTGATTAATGTAGTTTCGGTTTCATTTCAGATTAAATAGAAGAATGATAATTATTGCCAATCAATTATGAATCGATGACATGATGCTGTGGCAAAATTTATATTACTGATAGATTGCTATTGCTTAATGGATATCTGTCAGCTATTGTTGTCGTCTTTTTTTGCATCCTAAATGTTGTTCACCATTTTGGCTTGGTTTATGGCATTTTGGAGTACAATCATTTTATTGGATTATTTTCTTCGATCATTTCGGTCACCCATTTATATGGCATTTGCTGAACGCTATGAATTAATTGTTACCCTTTTTCAGGTTAACAATTTTACAACTTTTATTGACTTAAATTTACATTCAGATTTTAATATTGAGAAATTAAAAATAAAGTTGATCGCATCTCTTCCTGTCTTAGAATGTAGCAATGATAATGACGCTGATTTTAAAATCGTGATAATTAATTGCTTCAAGGATCGATAATGATAATACTTGAAGATGTTGATAATGATAATACTTGAAGATGTTGATAATGAAACAGGAAGGTTCGATTTAATCCGTAAACATCATATTATTAATGAAATAGATCATAATAAAATTTAGAGTGCTTTTCAGATTCGCTTTGTTCCTATTCGATCACCATGCACGATACTTAAAACATTCATAAAAAATAGCCTACTCTCATATCTGTTTACAATTTGGTTTACGATTGGGATTATTTCGGCTATATTTTGCTCGTTTGGGATAATCCTATATCTTTCAAAGCGTTCTGTGATCGAAATAAGTTCATGGTGGTTCGAATACTTCCATTCGTTTGCTTCAGATGGTTCAGTTATGAATGTTTACCAGGTGGAAGCTGCAGCAGTTAGGAAGAAGTACATCGAAGAAAATGGTTATCAATTCATTTTAATATTAGCTACTTAATTCTGTCTTCCATTTGTTGCAATTACAAAGATGACCGAGAACAATTCCATGGCATCATGTGCAGTTTTTCAGGTCAAAAGATTTAGTGTTAACCTTAATAGAGTACTATGAATCTGCTTTACTTTCAGAAGGTTTGAAATTTGTAATTCCTGGCTGGAACATTCCGTGGACACAACTGCCATTATATATTGGGATTTTATTGATCGCAGCAGTAATCCATGAAATGGGACATATGTTAGCTGCATTAAGTACCAATGTTCCGGTTACAAGTATGGGTTTCATCCTTCTTGCCATATATTTTGGTGCTTACGTTGAAATTGATGCTGCTGCAGTGCGTGAGTTTTTGCTATTTGTAAAATCATTTTGCATTCCGAATAAAGTTTTTTTTCAAAGTTTTTCTCAATTCTAGTTAACTCATTCAGATCATCAGTAATTTCATGAATATACGTTATAAATCACGATGGTATATAGCTACAAAACATTATTTCATGATGTTAAGTCCTCATTTTTAAAGGATTTACCAAGTTGTGCAAGTTTCCGTTTAAATACGAATACTGAAGAGAAAAATTACACATTTCGTTAAATAGAAAAGCTTCAAAAAAAAGAAATACGTTGGATGACAATGCTTTTATAATTCGAATGTTATTTAAATCCTTGCATCTGATGAATCATTACTGATTCTCTTTAGGACGTTTATCTCCTGTACAAAAGTTGCGAATCAGTTGCGCGGGTGTATGGCATAATTTGGTGCTTGCATTATTTGCATGGATGCTTTACGAATCTACTTCTTTTATTGTTTCACCACTTTATATTTCTGACGCGGGTGTTTACGTTGAAGGTTCTTTGAATTATCAGTTTTCTGCCATGAAGATGAGCAATATAATTTCTAAATCACTTGAATTGTTCAGATAAACTTATGAAATCCTTTTACTTTAAATTGTGTTAAACATGTGATTATGGGTGGGGATACGCAGTGACTTCATAATAATGAGACAATCATATGCCATATGTGTATGTATTCACTTAATGGTTGGATGGTGAAATTCTATGAAGATGTTGTTGTAGATTTCAGATGTTCAGAAGGATTCGCCCTTAACTGGACCAACTGGTTTATATGAAGGTAGTGTTATCCAGGCAATAAATAGTTGTAACGTAAACAATGTTAACGATTGGAATAGCTGTCTGACGACAATTAAGTATACTAACTCAGGATTTTGTGTACCGGATGACGTAATTGCGGAAAATGTTGCAGATGAGGTTGTGTTTTCAATTATTCATTACTCTTCAGATTTCACTGAATTATTGTTAGACTATCTTTTTGCATAAGTAGAAATCATTTGATTTGAACACTTTTGTAGAACAAAATTTACTTGTGTTTTCTGGGATCATGGTAGCATGTTATTTGGCTTTTTATCTACTAGTTAGCTTGTCCATTCTAAACGGTAAAAGATGTAATTTGCCTTGGCAAAAACTCTATAAAAAATGACATTATTGAAATTATGCGGCATGGCATTCGCTATCCTTATCAATATTTTTAACAGTTAGGTTTAACTAACAGTGAGAGGTTAGTGAAAAAGTGTGGATTCAATCAATCGTACGGTTGAAAAAGTTGCTTAAATCAACTGTGATAGTATGCGGAAAGTGTTAATCATTTTAGATGCATTTGGTAGAGAACGAACTGGACTGTTGTCGCAACTCAACGTGGAATAATTCAGCTTCATATATGTGTTTTTATGTACGGGATTGGATGCACGCCACCCGTATGTTTTGATTTTACCTTATGTTACATTTATTTACATTCATGGTCATGTCGACGTCTCGTGAATCTTACTTCAAGTTAGTTTGTTTCAATTTAATAACAGAAGGATCTGCTCCATGTTTTCGTTTTTTCGTTTGCTTGGAGACAGAGCTAGCAAAATTCTGCATACTTTTTTTTTCATGTTATCTTTTAATATTTACAGAATTAGCTCAAGAACGACATCATGAATTGCTAGAGTATTTTTCGGCGAAAATATGCACATGTTTATCAGCGAGGTATGTAGCAGGTTCGTTCAAGACAACTTTTCATTAATTTAAATGTCTTGAGATTTCTGAGAAAATGGTTCTGCAAATTTTTTCAAGATTTGCAGCAGAATCCATAAAATTGAATCGTCTAGTACTGAAATTTTTCAGGTTTACAGCCTTGCAGTTCTACTGAAAATTGCGCAAGTCGAACTTTGTCAACTCCCCATTCATCTTGCGTTTTCCCTGCCCTTCTGGGTAACATGTCATTTATGAGGATTTTGGTCGGGAATGCATCGCGTATAGTTCTTTATGTGGGGTACGTCAAGGAGGTAATTGTTTGAATATGACCTTCCAATAATTTCTCTAGGCAATTCTATAGTTGTTCATTATTATTATTCAAGTTGTTCCAAAAGATGAACGGTTGAAGTCCTAATATAACACCTGGTTTCCATCGAAACATTAATCACATTTATTGGTTTAACATTACCTGTTATCAAGGGAAATATTAAATTTTTTTTTTTTCAAGAAGAGTAATGGTAATGGTTAACGTAGTTTAATCTAAGCAATTTGTCATCATCGGACTAGATTCGAAGTAAAAGGAAGGAATCAAGTCTCATACTTGAAGGGACAATATATTCTGGGAATTAAAAATAGAAATGTTTTGCAATGAAACGTTTGCACATTTTAATAGGAGATTTTATTTCCGACGAAACACTTGTATTTTTATAGTTGGAATTCGATGTGCAGGTGAGCAATTACGTGCCTCGACCGCCATTCTCGTCGACATTCATACCTTACGTTATTGAGCTGGTAGCAAAGTATCTCTTCACATTTTCATTTGGTTTGTTTGTTTTTGTTTAGTTTAACTTTTGACTTCGTTTTTTACTAAACTGAATAAATATTTAGGATTCGTAATACGCAATTTTTCTAGCTTTTGCTGTTATCAATGCGGTACCTTGCATTTATCTTGATGGCCAATACATTTGTTCGAATTTTGTGGATTTCATGTTCAGCAAGTTGAGACTGAGGTTTTTTATTTCATCTCAATTTTAATTAAAAGTGGATTCTCAGCTGAAAAGGAATTTATTAGAAAATCTAAGTTTTGGCAACTGTAGCAGCTAGATACCTAACTAGCTGCGCTTTCCCTTAGATTTTGGCATATGAATCATCCGTGATGCGGTTCGAAAGATAAGAACTAAGACAAAAATTAGAGAGAGAAAACTAAGCAGTGATTTTTCTTTTTTCTTTCACTGTATAGTACTTTCTAACATGCTGTGGCATTTTGCTGCTCTTAAATTTGGCAAACTTTTCAACCCCATCTGAATTTACGGCTGTTCGCTATTCCTGAAAAAGCTTATTTGCATCTGTCAGTTAATTTTAAAGTACAGTTGAAACTAGAAAGAAAAATTATTTTTATTGGCTCGTTTAGGAGACAACGATTAATAAAGCGAGTGACTTTGGCATATGGAACGACACTTTTAGCTGTAAATTTCATCCTCGCAATATGGAAGTTATATAAACATACTGTATAGGGTATTCTTTATCTCACTGTAGCTTGATGTTCCAGACTTTTTTTTTTTGAAATTCCGGAGTTTGATTTGTTAAAGCAATAAATTGTATTGACGTGGTATTGTTTTCCATACTCTACGGGTTCTCTGTTTTGTTATTAGTTACCAAATTATATTTTAAAATGAAGGTTTGAAATGTTCATAAAGTTCAGATTGTTGTTTTCTTTTTTTTT